AATATATATAAAATTACATACAGTATTTACACTAATTTTACTAATTTTGATAATATAATGAATATACATATTATTACAGTAAAATAATTATTTTTATTTCTATCATAAAAAAATTATAAAAATCTATGCAAATCTTTAAACTCTTAAAAATCTGTATTGATTTTATAATTTTTTCTTTAGAGCGTACTATTAAAGTTAATTATCTACATAGATTTTTGTGCTTTAGAATAATGCAGATCTGCACAGATCTGCTTTCTAAAAAAATTCCTGATAAAGTTTTATAAAAAAATTAAAAAATTAAAAAAATAAAAAAATATTTTTTTTCCTTTCTTTTGATAAAAAAACTAAAATAAAAATGATTAATTATCTTTTTATGATCTTAAATACCATGAAATTAGGATAGATAAAGCGATAAAAAATAATTTATTAAAAAATATCCTCCCCTTCTAATAAAAAAAACTGATAAAAAAAATTAAAAAAAATTAAAAAATTAAAAATAAATAAATAAAATTTTAAAAAATTCCAATAAAAAAAATAAAAAAAAAATTTTAAATTTAAACTATTACAAATTGATTTAATAGATACTTTAAATATCTGTCTGATGAAAAAAAATTCTAGTATAAAATCAAAATTAAGTATTTTTACTAATTTTATTTATTATGTGATTACAAAAAAAGATACTTAAATTTGAAATTTTATAGTATATGTATATATATAGATTTGTTATTATATAAAATCATTCTTGCATAATTATATTATTGAAACTTTTAATACATTTAAGAAAAATATTTTATTAATTAAACAAAAATCTTTTTATATTTTTCTAAAAAGTTATAGACTTAATTTAGATTATATTTTAATTTTAGGAAAATACAAGGATTGGTCTTTTATAAAATAGTTTTAGATTAATTTGTACAAGATTTTCATAATTTCTTTAAATATGTATTTTATTTTATATAGAATTTTTATATTATAATAAAGTTTTTGTGAAACTACTACATTTGAAAATATATATATATATATATATAATTTTACTTTTTAATTTAATATTATAAGTTCTTTTTTAATTTTTTACTTTTTCTAATTATTATAATTATTATAAAAAAATATAGATATATTTAATATTTTTATATTTTGATTTAATTCAAGAATTTATAAAAAAATTAGTTAAAAAATATTTTTTAATAGTTAAAAAACTAACTATTCTATTTTAGTAATTTTATAACAATCAATTTTATATCAATCTAAATTAATAATTATGTCATTATTGGATTTTGAATACATATTTTAATTTTAATATTTAAATAAAGTTTTGGACATAGAAAAATGTGTCTATAACCTATTCAAAATTCTCTAAAATTGTTTAATTTTCTAATATTGAATTATGGGATATTCAAAAATGATTTTCACAAAATTTAACCAAAAAAATTGCAAATATATTATTTATTATACTGGTTTTAGATAAATAATAAAAAAATAAAATTTTTTTATTGGTTAATAAATTTTAATAATTATATAAAATTTAACCAATAAGTAGATTTTTAGCTATATTTATACTGTAAACATGTCTTTCAAATTTACTTGCTTAGTTTTTGAAGATGCTTTAGTAGATACTTTTACTGTTAGGATTAATAAGATCAAGTATATTAGTAAACTTAAAAAAAACCATTAAAGAAAAAGATGAGCAAGCTTTTATAAATATTGATACTAAGAAATTAAGGTTTTGAAAAGTTAAAATTCCTGTTAATTATGAAAAAAAGTTTTAAAATCTTACTCTAAAAGATAATAAAATGTTGATTAATGCAAGAAAGATCAGACATTATTAGGACTCTATATCACCCAAAAATAATATACATATAATCATAAAGTTTTATTGTTATTATTCTGCAATTACATATAAGAAAATATTTTTTTTAGCTTTTCTTTAGTTTATAATTCAAAATAATTACATTGTAATTATATTACATGATCCAAAAATTTTTGTGCTAATATTATAAATCATTTATCAGCTTCCATTAACAAAATTTTCTCAATTAGTTTTATTTTTACTATAATAAAGTTTCTTATTATAGAGGTTCTGTACTGTAGTACTTTAAAATTATATATTTTTATATATAAATACTTTGTAATAGAAAAGAAGAAAACTTCAAAAAATTTATATTAAATCTAAATTTATTTTACTAAAAAAATCATATTTTAGCTTATTAAAGTAAATTTTATTTTTATTATTATTTTCTTCTTTTTTACTGTAAAATGCTTATATTTATATTTTTATATTATATGTAAATATTAAAATTTAAAAATTTATAATTATTTATAAATATAATATTTAAATATAATAATATATATAATTTTAAATGATTTTAAAATTATTAATAATATAAAAAAAAGATAAAAATATTAAATCTTATAAAAAATACTTTATTAAAAAAGAATTTATAATAATTTATTAAAGAATCAATTAAAAATTAAGTAACCTAAATTTGCTTGCAAATATACAATATGTATAGTGGTTAATTATTTATTAATTTAAGATCAAAAGATTTAAAATTTAATTATTATCGAATTTATTTATGTACAATAAAATGCGTGTTTTTTTTGCAATCAGTGCAAATATATTCTTTGAAAGTTTTTATTATGTTATTATAAACATTCTACTCTACAATGAGATTTTTTTTGCCTACAAAAAAGTAAAATTTGACAATAGATGTAATATATAAAATTTCTCAAACTCTTTAATCTGTAAAAAAAGTTAAAGGAAAAATAAAAATTTTATTACCTACAACTTATTTTATTACAAAATAAATTCAATAACTTTTTTTTGTTATTCCGGAATTTCAAAATCAACCAAAACATGAACATGTCTTTGCCATGCATATCCACTCTCATATGATCCAACGCGAAATTCTCGTACGCTGATTCCCCTTTCTCTAGCATAACGTTCAATTGCTTCCTTATGTTCATCACAACTAAAGAAACAATGCCAAGACATACACCTTAATGTGGCTTTACAATTTATTAAGAATTGGTTCAAAGATTTTCCAGAAAAGGTCCATCTAGATAAATCTAAATATTTGAGACCTTCTGGAATTGATTGACCGATCTGAGCTAACATATCATCAACGGGAAGCAAACTACTTCGGGAAGATCCATTGATAATTAAATTTTCAAGCATTTTGCAGCCAATTAATAATTTTATTAATTCAATAATTTGTTCATCATTTTTAATGCTTCCTGAAAATAAAGTTAAGTTTGGACAATTATTTGCTATTGTCTCAATGATTCCAGGATAAAAATGTAGCTCTAAATTTAATCTTATTTCTTGGAGATGTTTACTTGCATTGTGAATCAAACTGGTCAATTCTAATGAAGGTGGTTCAATTTCTTCGTCTTGTTCGTCCTCATAGTTATGAGGGTCACTGATTTCAATTGACTTGAGATGAGGAAAATCTGCGTTGGCCAAAGCTTTCATGTGGAGACTTGAAAGGTGACATTCCATTAATTGTAAATTCACCAAATTTTTACATGCAGCCAAACCATCATAAGCATCATAATCTCTTGTATAAGCCCTAAGCAAATTAATAGTTTTAAGACTTTCACTTTGGGTTACAAATGACCATAAGATCGAAGAAGCATTTTCACCTCCACTAATCCAAGTGAATGAAGCTAGTCCATTTTGAGCGTTGATGAGATTCGCTAAAGAATGAGGTGAACTATGATACGAATCAACAACTGTAAGAGAATGAATATCCTTACAGTATATAGCCATCGCATCGAGTATATCGGCCTTATCGAATTCGCCACTTAAAACAAATACAGTAAGCTTTGATAAACATTCGGACGCTCCAGGGAAACAAGGTAAAGAAATATAATCACGTGAAGCAATAGATAAGGCCCTTGACCAACCTCGAGTATCCAAAAAAAGTTGCTCAAAATTTCTGCAATGACTCATTAAATACAAACAAATCTCTTTAGCGATCAATAGCTTTTTAGTTACCAAAGACTTTTCAAACGGTATCTCAATACTTTCCATCTCATCAACATAATATTCCGGATCACTCCATGAACTCTCATAACAATCAAATTGATCATATAAATCATCATCACATTCAACAAATGATTCAACCTCGTCGTCATCAGGATATTCAAAATAATCATCATCATCTTGTATGTCAATAATTGAATTATCAATAATTGAATTATCTATTTCGCATGATCCCCATTCATCGTTAGCAAGATCCTGAGAATTCTCTATATCCCTATTCATTACAGATTCTCCAAACGATAACCTCTCTAGATCAATATCAATATCATCTTCTTTATTAAAAAATATTCTATTTTCAAATGTCCATTTTGAAATAGCTTCATACAGTTTCTTGTAATTAAGTTCTTTCAAGAATGATACGTAATCAAATATTGTCGTTTGCTTGTATGTACATTGCTTAATATTCTGCATCTCAGGAATGGTCAAAAAATCTTCTGGTAAATATGAAAGATAAATTGAAATAATCTTCCAAAGTGATGATGGTTCTTTATTACATGAAAGAGTAAATGGCTTTTTCCAAAGGAACGGAATTACATTTTTACACCAAATTCTATTTACTAATAATATGGAGTATAAAGTTTGAAAATCATCTTCAATGAATGAAAAGATGCATTGAAAACATTCTGTTGGTATGTGAGGAGGGTTGTTCTTAGATACTGCTTTAGAAGTTGATCCTGAATTTGATTGATCCATAACAAAAAAAAAAGGAAATGAATTTTTCTACACGAGAAATTCGTGGGAAATTTTTAATGGCAAATGCTGGTGAATGATCGACATGGTAAATTATAAAAAGATCGGAATTGTTAACCTTAATGAGTTAGTTTTCATCTTTTAAACTCCATTATACAGAAATGGAGGATACTTTTTTTTTTTCCAATGTATCTTACGATAAAAATTTTAACGATGAATTTTTAATTACTCATTTAGTAGCAAATTTGATATAATTTAATTCATAATGGTGCTTGAGAAATATCCAATATTATTTCGAACATTAAAATTTTTAACAATTTTAACGACCTTTGCTATTATAGCGTCAGGTTAGTTAAGTAAACTTATAGAAATCTTCTTTAGTTATGTTTCAAGATAACAAGTTTAAATTTCCAAATTAAACGTTTTCCTCTATATTAAATCAATAGAAATAATGCAATATAAAGCATTTACATTACATTTTGCACATGATACAAATAATATCATGCATGATTATTATCAAAATTCAAGGTAATATTAACCGGAATCCACTTTTCAAAAGAATTTAATATTTAATATATTTAATTATATTTGTAATGATTTTTCTTTAGGACAAATCTATATGGTATAAAAATATTATTTTATATTATATTGATTTTGACGATTATTATCAATGGTAAGCGATATATATATATATATAAAAAAGACCTTTAAATTTGATTTACTTTTCTTTTCATAAAGATCAAAATCTGTTGTTTTTTTAGGTGTACAATTTGTTAAATTTAATATGTTATGGAGGGAAAGTTCTTTCATTCGAGATATTGCATTCGGAGGGTTAGTGTCTTTCCTTCCACGTTGAAAGAAATGCTTTGATCTTTTATGCGATAAATTTAATTTATTTATAAATATATTTTTTTCTTACACCAGAGGATTTTCAATTGTATGGATAATCGCCGGTAACCTGAAATTTTTTTTAATTTAAATTTTTTTTTTTTTTTTTCACATTCTATTCAAATTCTTAGTTTTTCTAATTTGCCTTACACAGGTTTAATAAACATATACGCGTATTATCATGCACCAGAATTAACGTGTCCCGGTTATTCTACAAAAAAACATCCATCAACACAATCTTCACAAATTCCATGGGAATTACAATTAAAATGTAAATTATATTTGTCAAATACTGCTTTAGCTTGGTTAAACGTTGTAATATTTTTTTTATCTACTGCATTATATTGGAAATTATTGATCAATAGAAATAGAGAAGTACTTATAATGCCATAATATAAAAATCTGTCATGTGATTGTAGGGCGGCGATTCCTTGTACATATAATATGAAATCTATAAATATATAATCACGTGCCAAACAATACTTTTGTAATAATATTGTGAAAACTTTTCCAACTATATGAAATTGGGAAAAACCATATCATCATGCATTGTTAATGATAAAACTTCTTAATGTTCATTTGATTAAATTTCTGATTCTTTACTATTTAAAAATTTAATTTATGATTAATCTTATTTTATTAAACTGGTAAAAATAAATAAATATATATATATATTCTGTAATATAATATTAGAAAAGGGATAAGTAAAAGATCGACCTCGTTCGAAATAAATATTAAAAAGAGAGATTGTTTACGTGATTATTCTAATCTAAAATAGAGAAATATCCGCTGAATTTTCGATATTATAAAGGTACTAATTTGAGGATGCCATATCTATCTACTGTATATTAGACATCATCGTTATTAATGCTAAGTTAACTAACACTTTATAAATGCATGCAATGTATAATTTTTCTCCAAATACATGGCATGGCATTGATTCATTCCTAAATCTTTAATTAATTTACTCTCTAAATGCGCACACTATCTTTCTAAATACGCGCTCTGCCACTAATTTACTCATTGTTATTTTTGAAAAATGTTATATATTTTGTTTTTATATATAAAATTCATCGTATATATATAAATAATAAAAAAATCAGTAATCTTGATATATTCTAATGAATAGAAAGAACTACTAATACCGAAATGTTGGTCTGATGCCTTTATATAAAAGGTTTAGCAGATAAGATGTGATAATAGATCAACGAGAGTCATAATTTTAGGAAACATTCACCATTTTTTTTTTTCGAAGGAAACCAATAACGCAATTTACTAGCGAAATATAAGTAACGATTTGCCCCCGACTGTTCATTCTTCTTTAAATGATAAGACTTTCCTGTCTAGTGTACTCTCCTAATTAAGTAACATCATAGATGATGATAGTTAATTGGGAGAATGGTGATAATCAAATTCCTCATTTCGCTAGATATATTTTTTTATTTCAGTATTTACAATACATTTATACATTCCTTTTAAATAGGTTTAATCATAGTCATCCCAATAGTACCCTTTTTACTATGACTGACTTCTAAAAATTGCTCAACAATTTTATCAATTGGTAATTTATCAAAATCATGTTTGAATGAAGTTGTTCCGGGTACCTCGACGCTCCATTCCGTCAAACCATCAGCAGTTAAATCATATAATAAATTTTTTGACCTGTCTATAATTTTAAAATGGTAATATGCTGCTTCTGGATCAAATATTCCCGAATCCAATTTACCACTAACGTTCGTCTTGTTTTGTGAGATACTATTAAACCTTATTTGACCTGTTATTGCCGTTGGATATTGCGATGGATTTGTAAATATTGCTTCCGCTGTTGTCGGAGATGGTGATGGTATCGCTGTCGATGTTGTTGTTGTTTTGGTTGTCGTTGAATTTTTCGAAGCTGTTGTTGTTGGAGATGGTATTGGACTTGCCGTTACAATAAATGTGAAAAAACAAATTAAACATACAAATGTAAATATCGTAAAAGATTTATTTAACTTCATAATAACATTTCTTTAAAAAGAAGTAGGTATATATATATATATATACTTTCTTTAATTCATAAAAAAGAACGAGACCTTTTTTCGGAGACAAACATTGATTTTATACATTTCCATGATGTATTACAATCAATCGATTTATTTGATAGCACGTGTATGTTCAATCATGAACATTGTATTACGTAATAAGAATATTGGAGGCTTAGTTGTTTCCCGTTGGGCTTGGTACAGAAGCCACTATATTATGGTGAATGATCCACTGATTTTTCTTCCGTTTTTTTTAAAGATATTCATTTGCCTTTTTAGTCCTTGGTTACCTCAAAGGATATTTTCTGCCATTTTCATGTGTTATTACTGTCTTTGATAATAAGAAAAAGTAAAATCAAATCTTATTGATGTGATTTATAGAGAAAGCAATAATAAAGTAAATGTAATAAATGACTATTATGTTATTTTGAATTGACCGTGGTTAAATATTTAATTGCAGTTCATCTTTCCCAGAGTGATTGTGTTCTAGGTTAATGTATTTTCCCATTAGTGCTCTTTGCGTTTGTAAGCAAAATTTATATAAGGTTATCACTCGTAATTATTGCGTTCGATTACACACATCATAAAATCTAATTTATCATCTGTAACTTCTTCACATTTGGTTGAAAGATATTATCAAAAAAAAAAAAAATTTTCTCGTGACGCGAGAATCTACCATCTAGTCTCGGTTAGGGACGGGGAAATTTATCCTAGGGTTAAATTAACGGGCGTCCTTAACCTAGGGAGGGGTGTAGACCCTTATCGTCCAACCCCATGTATAAATAAATATTTTTAAAGTATATATCACGTGACATATACAGTTGCGGTTTAGGATAAAGGTCTACACCCTCCCAAGGTTAAGGACGCCCTAAATTAACCAAAGTGCCATATTTATAATATCACGTGATCATATTTTATTTTTAGAAAAGAGTACATAATATCTATATATATTTAAGATTTTTTTTTGTACATATTTTTTAATTTACAGTATTTTAAAGAAAATCTAATATCCTTGATTAAGATTATTTATTTGAAATATATTTTAGATTTAAGATTTTTTAATAAGTTTACTAAATTTTACCTTTATTATTATTTAAATAATCTGTTAACCTTTAAATTTTAACTAATAATTTTATTTTTGATTTATTCTTTTAAAAAATTAAGCATATAATAAAATTTTAAATAAATATAACTTTATTCTTAATTTTTTAATTACTTTTTAAATCAAATATAAAATTCTCTTATTATTTAAAATTTATTATATATAATAATCTTCATTAAGTAAATTATTTTATAAGTCAATTATTTCTTCATTTTAATTTTTAAACTTATTAAAATTATTTTACTGTATAGTCCTGAAAATAAGCACCCCATAACACGCTCCTTTTATAGTAATTTATTTATTTGTCACATGGAATTTATTATATTATTAGTCACGTATATACTGATAAATTTATATATATCATATGGTGCTTATTTTTGGGACTATACGGTAGTTAGAGAAAAGTTAAGAGTAAGAACAAAAATAAGATGTATTTTACTATATATTTTTAAAGGTAAAGAAATATAGATTAACCTTTTATTTAATATTATAATCTTTAGTATATCTTTTCTAATATATTTTTTTTGAGTTTATCTATATTTTTTTAGTATATTTTTTTTTTAAGTTTTTTTACTTTATTTTTAAATTTAAATCTGATAATTAAATTTTTTAAATTATCATCATTTCTAATACTTTTGATATCTTTTTTTATTTATTATTTTTAATAACTATCTCTCTTATTACATTTGGATCATAAGAAAATTGAAATATATATTCTAGTTCAAATATTTTACTTTAACTTCTTTTATTTATCTCAATCTTAAAAAAATAACTTGATTTTATTAAGAGATGCATTTTTTATATAAAAAATATAGCATTTTTTAATATTTTATTATAAAATTGAATAATTTTATTTTTTTAAAAATTTAGTCTTAAATTTATATAGATTAATTATTCATAAATAATTTGAAATTTAAGTTTAATATTAATCATATTTATTTAATTAATTTATTTTTAATATTAGTAAAGTTTGTTAAAATTTCTCATTGTATTTTAATTATTTAATTTACAAGTTTTTATATTTATTAATTAGATTAAAAATAATTTTAATATTATAATATAATACCTTCTAAGTTTTGATTTATAAATATTACTAAGTTGATATTATCATAGTAAAAGAAAGCTTTAACTCAATAAATTAGATTTAAGATTTTATAATAATTATATATCTACTAATCTAATCTTTCAAAATTTTTATTTTTCATATATAATATACTAATAAAAAGAGCATAAATTTAGTTTTTTTTTATTTTTTTACTTAATAAAACTTTTATAATTTTCTTTATTATATATAAAATAAATAGTATAAATTATAGTATTAATTTAATAATAATAGTACAAATAAAATTATTTTGTGATTTTAAAGAATTAGGAAATATATTTTTATTAAAAATTCAAATTCTAAAGTGAAAAACTTAACAAATAATGATAAAATATATCTAATAATAAAATTGTATCTATTAATAAAAATTTTGAAAATTTTAACTTAAATAATATTTAATTTGTAAAAATTCTGATAATTATATTGATAATAAAATTTATAATAATATAAAATTAAAAGTTAAAAATTTTTTGAAAATACAAAGGGTAATTATAAATATTTTTTATTTATCATTTTACAGTGTGTTATGAAAAAAACTAGAATTTAAAAATATAATTCAAATCAAACTTACATGACCAAATTAAATCTGATTTGAAAATTCTAAAATGAAAGATCAATATGATGATCATAACAATAAATTCTGACCTTTAATCAATACTTTGTTTATTTATTTTTTTGAGCTACTGCATCACAAAATGTTAGTTTTGAAGTAAGAAAGACAATAGCAAACTATTTTACAATTGTGGAATGAGAATATGCATAAAGCAACTAAAATCAATAGGATTATAAATATTTCTCTTTCCACTATATATGATAATATTAAAAAAATAAAAAAAAGTAATATAGTAAGTCAAAAAGAGAAGTAGATATCTAAGAAAAATTACCAGTAAATTTTCCAATTCTCTTGGACAAAGTATCTGAAGAGATACATCAATTCTAATAAAGATTCTGACTAAAAAATTGAACTGAATGAGTCCTAAAGTATCTTATGTGACTGTTTCAAAGCATTTAATCACACATAGTTATAAAAAATCCCTTTCAAGGACAACTCTAATGCTTATTAATACCTACAAATAGAAATGTGTTGAGTGAGTGCAGAAGCATATTAATGATGATTAGAGTACAATGCTTTTTTCATATAAAACAGCCTTCTAACTCTTCCAGAATACTGTGAAGCATTAGCATAAGGAAGTTTGTCTAATCTGTCCTATGCCAAAAGACAGAGCAAAAATTTTTGCATAAGGCAGATTTTATATAATAGGCAAAATAAGTTTGTTTTGCTTCTGTTGAATAATAAATGTGAAATTTTATGTTAAAATCCTTGAAAATCACATTTCAGAGATTGATGAAATATTTAGTGATAACTGGAGGCTTCAGCAAGACAATAACCTGAAGCATACAAGTTATCTACTAAAGAATTTCTCTATAATAATATCCTAGAAGTTATAGACTAGCCCTCAAATAGTCTTGACTTAAATTAGATCAAAAACTTATGGTGATTGTTAAGAGAAATGTAAAATGCTAAATGCCAAAAATCTTGATGAATTAGAAATATTTATAGCAAAGGAATGAAAGGAATGGAAAACAATTCTGAAAATTGTATTAACGAATTTAGTGAGTTTGATAAAATGACATTGCGAGCTTATTATCAAAAATAATAAAGAATAAATCTCCTATTAATTTATATTAGCAAAAAAAGCTGATTTTTAGTTTTCAAATAAAAAAAATTTACATATTTTTATATTTTCAACATCAAGTTATAAGCTTTTTTTAATTTTAGTTTTTTTTCTTAACACACTGTATTTATATTATTTATACATATATTTTTAATTTAAGTATTTATTTAGAATATAAATGCATATTAATTATAATAATAATAATAATTTTCTTTTAAATAAAAGGATTAAAATAAAAGAATTAATAGCTGAAATAATATAGGACATTTGTTTATATCACAAATAAAATGATTTATATCAAAAAATTGCTAACAATATTTAATGTGATAAAATAACTATTTATAATATCATAAAATATATTGAAAAAACTAAATCTACAATACTAAAAAATATTATGATTCAAAGTCATTTTTAATTCAAATATACAAATCTTATAATTAATAATCTTTTAACATTTATATTCTTTTTAGATAAATTCTTCTAAAAGAAAAGAATTTTAAAGGAACTTTAAATGTCTTTAAAATATATAAAATTTATTTAGATATTTTATTAACATTTAAATTTTTCTATATAAAAATTCTAAATTTTTTTATCAGATTAAAATTTAAATTATTTAAAAGTTTTATATAATATAAATATATTATTATTGCATTTTTTTTTTTAATTTAACTAACTGTATTCTTAAAAATACTTAATACTTTAGTAACTCACTTATATACCATATTCTTTTGAAAATAAACAACCCTAAAAATAAGCAATTCTTAAAATAAATAATACCCAAAAATAAGTAAGACATTGAATATTTAATTAGTTTCGCATTAAATCTATATGTAATATAATAAGAACATTTTAAATAATAAAATAAAATTCAAATAAATCAAAAAAATATTTTATTAGTGAATTTTTATAAAATAATTGTTTGTGTTACTATCGTAAAATACATATATTAATCGCAAAATTTTAACACAATTAAACATATTAATCACTTCTACTATTAACAACTTTGTAAACCAGTTCGTGATGCATGTAACGTATATTAAATGATCAGTGATCACATTGTAGTCATATTAATTTTATAATATGAAAATCAAACTTTTAACTATACAGTACATTAAAAAAAATTTAACTACCTGAAAATAAGCAACTTTATAATAAAATTACGTTGCTTATTTTTAGAGAAATACAGTAATATAAATATCTGATAGATTTCTTTTATAAAATTAGTTTTAGATAAATAATTATACATATTAATTATATTAATTTTTTATCTTTTAGTTATATATAATTTACTTAAAAGAAATAGTAAGTATAATATAATAAAAAAATTTATATTACATATGTATTTGATTAATATGTACTAAATATATAAATAATTAAATTATAATAATTAGTTATACAATATTTTTTTGTTAAATTTTCATTTTAATGAGATACAAATCTTTGTATTTCAGATTATTTAAATTTTAAAGGTATAAACTAATTTAAAAATATTAATATTTTAAATAAAAATATATAATTAAATATTATTAAGAATAATAATAATATTATAAAACTTATTTATAATAAATATTTTTGATTTAATTATTATAGATTTTTATTTTAATAACTTTAGATTAAAAAATTTATATTAAAATTAAGGATTAAGATTAAAAACCAATAAATTACTTTTACAAGATTGGATTGTTTCAAATTAATCCTAATTAATTTTAAGTTTAATTACTTTTTAAAATCTAAATTACAAAATGTTTTTATTATATTAAGTAAAATAATTTTTTTTTAGCAAAATTATAATTCTTTCTAATAAGTGGAAATCTAAATTACAAAATGTTTTTTTATTATATTAAGTAAAATAATTTTTTTTTAGCAAAATTATAATTCTTTCTAATAAGTGGAAGATATATAACCAATTTGTCAGTAGATTCAAGAGAATTTTATATAGGTCAGATTCTCTAAATGTTCATTTTGATATCCAATACTTTTGCTCAACTAAAGAGTGTTTTATAATATATTCCTTTATATTACTTTCTGTTTCTTTTTTTTTGAGTTCAATTTTTTATATTCATTTTCTGGATTTTTCTGACTATTATCGTCATCGTAAATATAACTTGGGATAAAGATACAAATAACATCTTTTTCAAACCACAAAGAGCAGAGCTTCTCGCTATGCTATTTTTTTTATATTATTGATGACATAAATTCGGCCTTTAATCTATCCCGCATTGATATCGTCTTTTTATTATCTCACGTTCTATTGTCGTTCATATTTCTTGTAAATTAAAATTTGAAATGACATTACTTTTATGCACATAAATATTTCATTATTCCGTTTTCTGGCAGTGAATTACAAGGTCATTTATATTTTTTTTTAAAAAAAAGAACTCGTCATTTCGACTTGAAATTTATAATGAAATTGGTGTGTGAGGTCATTTCAAAAGTCATGGTCATTTAACCAACTTTGTTTCTGGCATATTGATTTAAAGACTAAAAATTAAACTTGGATAAGTTAGCGCGTAACTACAATCTCGATTTTTTATCTAATCGACTGATCATGTGACCGATGTCTTTTTAATAAATATTTGCAAACGAATCTTGAATGATTCCATGAAATTTTTTCGTTCTTTACTTTATCTATTGTTAAAATGACAAATTTTATGAATTAGTAATAATTGTCATTCATATCTTTGATAGTATTTGTGATTGGTGTATAATTGTCTGCATAACCGTCTGATAATTTGCCAATCTCAAATATATTCCAATTACCGAATCTGCTCTTTTCAACCACACAAACTATAACAGCTCGTGATTTAGCAGCAGATTTTAAAGTATAAGAACATAATTGTACATTTGGATTTGAAGGATCAAATAATTTAAACGAAGGATCTTTAACACTCCCGATATCTGGAGAACCAAATGAACTTAGGACGAAGTATAATTTTGTAACCGTTGCCGGCATAAATGCTAAATTTGCTGTTATACGATGATGTCCTAGGTTTTTTTTTTTTTAAAAAAAAAAAGTTTTATACAAGGATAAGTAAGGATTGCTAGAAAGATAAAGAACAAAAAGTCACGTACCTCTCTTGTTGTTGCTGTCCAAAACGTCACCAGAATGTGACATATGAGGAATATCATCGTACCTTTTCTTACTATAATCAAAAATTCTCCAAAGGCAACTCCCTGTATAAAGCATACAAGTACCATCCAAAAAATCAACTATACAAGACGAATATCCCCAGTTTAGATCAAAAGTTAATTCGCTTATGGATAATTCTTTTGAAATGGAATATAATAACACCATAAATTGTAGGTGACTTCCGGTTACTATTGAATATTCGGATAATTGATTTGGAGCATTTCTTGAATGAGTCTGAAATAAAGTTTCCGGAAGATAATAAATAAATAAATAAATAATTTTTTTTTTTTTTTTTGAATAAACTTACGTGTAATTCGACATCTTTATAAATTAATCTTTGTTTTTTAACTTCAACGTTAGTTTGTTCCTCTATGGCTTCTTTTAAAGCCACAACAGTTTTGATCTTATCCAATCTAAATTGTAATTTTGTACCATTTAATAATACCACAAAAAATTCTCCTTTTTCAAGATTATTCAGATTATCTCGTTGTGTGATTGTCGAAAATTTCCAAGGATCAATTTTAAATGGTGCATTTTCCCATGCCAAATTTAGTTTTTTAATTTCTTGATCTGAAAGATGCCCTTTACATTCAGGACAAATTAGTTTTGACTTTTTAACATCAAGGTTTTCTATTATACACTTTAATTTAAAGATGAGAATGATAAAAAATTTTTTTTTTGAATTAAAGAAAATCATTTTGAAGAAAATAAAAAAGAAAATTGATTTACCCGTAAACAAAAACTTGGCATGTGAAAACAGTTTTTACCAATAGTATCAGATGGAAACTCTCGAGATAATTTATCAATTTTACAATTCGTACAATTCATTGTTTTGAAATTTTTTTTTTAAAAAAAAAAAAAAAAAAAAACCTTTCAAATTTTAAAAATTCAGTATTTATATAATGAAGAAATTTATCACTGAATCGGGAAATTCCCTGCAGTTTTTTTATTTATTCATTTTATTCATTCAGTTATTTAATGCCGATCGACAGTATTCCGATTAACATTTTTATGATTGATCGGATCGATATTATCATTATCGAAATTTCTTTCACACTAATTTTTGTACCTTGAAAAAATTAGTAATATAAAAATTTTATTGCGTCATGGATAAAAACATCAGACTTTTTATCACATGATAATCTAGCATTATCGTTAACAACATTCTTGTAATTGTTTATAATAAGTTCAGTACATCGCTAAATTCTAATGCAGGATTAACGAATCCGGCGTTTAGGCATTTAAAAACCAAATTTATTTTTAAGTTGTTCACAATACGTGATCAATAGAAATTTGAAATCTTACTTTTTTGATTTGCCATGAGATTATTGATTTCTCCCATTAGTCATAACGGAACGTGAGAATTTTATGATAAATAATTTGATTAAATATGTTTTGAATAGGATAATAATAGTAAATTTATAGACATAGTAGTACTTCAAGTGATAAAATTTTAATTAATCGTGATGACACTTTATTTTACATCTATCGATTAACAAATATTTGCTATGATAAAATTCGCAAACCATGAACTGTTTGGATATAAATCAGATTGCGAATTCTGGGATTATAGTTTCAATTTAAGGAATTTCAACCTTGGGAGGAAATTATGAGACAACACGTCATGAAATTCTTACCCTTGGCTTTGACGCTTTTTCAAGATGCTCGTTTCTTAGAACAACTTATAATTGGGAAATCAAATGGTTATTTAAATTGTAAATATAGCTATGAAAAAGAAATGCAAGTTAGTTCTAATTATGATTGATTGCTGTAAATTTTAATTTTTATTGGACAGATTTGACATTCGTCAAAATTTACTGGTTTTTTATCGTAACTTTATAACTTTATTTTTTAATATTTAAAAGAAAATCGTGACAAAGGAAGAAATCCTAACCAATTTTAGTCTATATTTAGAAAGAATAAAAAAATTCTTTTTCTGCTTTAAATAATTAAAATAATTAAAATAAAAAATCTAACAATTTAAGCTTCCATGTCACATCTATTATTTTTTTACCTACGATCTTTACAATTTATCCAACTTTTACGATCAAAGCTTTGCTGAGTGTTTTTCCTTCATGTTTAACAACGAAACATAACCCTTCAACATCCTCAACGCTTGTTAGATCAAATGGGAAATCACATTCGAAAGGAGAGGTGCCCGGTGGGTTGATGTGGATTTGTTCACGAATTTCTTCGGTGAGGTCTTGGATCTCCTTTTCATCCTTGTCTTCCAAGAAGAATGAATATTCATCAACATTTGCACTTTCGAAACCAGTATTGAATTGTCCTGTAGTTCGGCATTTGCCACCTGGTATATTGGTCCAAGTGAATCGACCGGTGACAGCGTCGGTAAAGTCACAGTAGGCGACCGCTCCTCCTTGTTGACGTCTATTCAATGGTTCAGCCAAGGTTAATCCTGCAAAGATCATGCAAACCATGGCAATAATAGCCAAAAAAGAGAATTTTCTTAACATTTTTGGTTTTTGGTTTTTTTTTGGTAAGAAAAAAAAAAAGATTTTATTTTTTTTTTTTTGATTAAATATTTGATTTCTTTTTCGGTTGGAAGAAAATGAAGGATGAAATTGTTGTTGCTTTTATAATTAATTGGTGATCATAATGATTTGTCGCTTAAAATTAAAGATATCTATTTCCGTCTAAATTTACGAAAAACTGGTTTATTGAGCCTTCGGTCAATCGATAGGCTGTGTGTTTCATTTGTGTGAGAGGATCATTTAGAGAAATAGATTATTTAATCTTGGCTTTGAATTCAAAACTTGTCAAGGCTTTGAAGTTTCTTTTATTAATTATGATGTTTGATCTCAGCAAAACTTTTAAGCCTGCATTTGCAAATTACCTATAGGAAAGGATGATTTGGTTCTGCGAAAAAAAAAAAGGTTTTTAAAAAGAAAAAAAAAATTTTTAATTATATGGCTGATGATAACCGAATGCGTCCCGTTCAAGAGTTACAGTAAATAATATTTTATTTGATTTTTTATGGCTTACCTAGTTAAATTCAAGAACTTATGTTATAACATAGCCTATTTCATTAAAGTTTTTATTCTAAAAATGTCAACACATAACCTTAAATTTTACAAAGATGGAAAAAAAAAAAAAAAAAAAATATAATATAAAAAAAAATTGGCTTATCGTTTGGAAAAAAACGGGAAAGAAAGAAAGAAAGCCAAAGAAGCCCACATAAGCTTATCCACGTGACATCAGCCTTCTAGCGCATGACTCCCGAAGAAGAGGTAAAAATTCCCGATCAGCTGATAATCGGAGTCTATTGAACCACCTCCTTTTTTAAAATAAAAGCAAATTTTAAATTTAATTATTTTTTTTTTTCTTGCCGACCCTTCGTCATAAGGATAAAACAACTAGATTTACGTATCTACCATCGTTTATTGTTCAAGATTGAAATTCACGAATTTCTTAGTTCAATTAATCAAATAACAATTTGCAAATAAAAAAAATACATCATTATAATTTATTTATAAGAAAGGAAATAATATACAAAGTATTAAAATAATACTTTTATAAGCTTCATTAAAAGCTACCGTAATAAATAAAATAAATAAATCTTAAAAAATTAATCTAATTTTTAACATTATCGATTTTGAGCACCGCTTGACCTGAAAGAGGAAGCTGAGGCGGAAGTACTAGAAGAGAGTGACGACTCTGATGACCGTCGTGAAGTACCAGTTTGACTTTGATTGGACGAGGTTTGATTATGATGATTTGGTTGATCGAAATCCTTCATGCTTTCGATTTCATTCTTCTCGGTCTGAGCAAAATTATTCTCCGGTTCTAACTCTAGGATCCTCTTTAAATCCTTTAATGAGTAATTGTAGTCCTTTGTCATTCTATGGATTTTTGCTCGCTGATATAAACATAATATATAATTGGGTTTATGTTTAAGGGTAAAATTCAAATCCTCAATGGCCTTGTCGCAATCCCACTTGAGCAGATAAATATACGCCCGGGTTGTTAATCCGAGAGGATTTTTTGGAGAATCTTGAAGTATGCGCCCCAGATGAATTAAAATTTCATCCACCCCAAGAGCTTCAGATAGGTCATCGTAGACCTTCATCCTCTCTTGAAAAGACGAAATGTCTTCTCGTTTATTTAAAATTAATATCTTTTCACAATCCTTGAGAGCCTCGTTAAACTTTTTCATTGAGGTTAGGACAGCAGCTCTTTGATTGAGAGCAATCAAATCTTCAGGTTGTTGTACAAGAACTTTATCCAAATCAATGAGAGCTTTGTTATTTTGTCCGCATCTTCGTAGCGCTTTCCCCCTTACTCTGAGACCATGAAAATTTGTCAAATCATACTTCAGAGCCGTGTTGCAGTCCTCAAGGCAATCTTTATACGCTCCAAGTTCACAAAGGATGTCTGCTCTGTAACAGAGCGCTCTCACGTCCCCCTTATTTAATTGGATCAATTTATTAAAGTCACAAAGACTTTCTTCATATCTCTTTGCAGCAAATTGCAAAATTCCTCGTTGACGAATCGCGACCAGATTTTCAGGAAATCGATTTAATACCGTGTTAAAGTCCCTCAAACTATTCGAATGGTCACCCATATTAGCATACATCATCCCTCTATAGAGTAGGGAGAAATAATTGTGCTTATCCAATTTCAAGACGGTATTCAAATCCTGAAGGCTCGCGTCGTATTTTTTTAACATGAAGTGGGTGCATCCTCTCCTACTTAAAGCAAAGATGTTTTTGGGTTGCTGTTCCAGCACATAATCCAGATCACATAGAGCCTCGTAATATTTGTTTTGTTTACGGAAAACATCTCCACGCTCGGCCAAACACCATAACTTCTCCTCTTCATTTGATGTATTATCCAGCACGTGATTTAAATCGTCCAAAGATTCTGACAATCGATCACATTTGCAAAATACGGACCCCCGCTGTGAGAGAGCGAATAGATTATTCGGGTTACACCGAATAGCCTGCGTCAAATCTTCCAAAGCTTCATTATACTTACGAAGTTCTCGAAAGAGGGATCCTCTACTAGTCAGAACCTTGATGTTGGATTTATCATTTTCCAACACCACACTGAAGTCAAATATACCCTTTTGTATGGAGCCTAATTCTTTATGAATGTTTCCCCTTAACTCATAAGCGTCTAAATCCCTTTGACAAAGCTGGAAATTTTCCTCTCCAGTTTTTGAACTTTCGATCCGGTTGATATAAATATTTATATCATTAAGAGATTCCTTAAATTTTTTCAATTGAAAGTTTATTTGCGATCTAAGCAAATAAGATTGCATGTTGTGATTGTCGTATTGAAGGGCGGTTGTCAAATCAAGCAAGGCCTCCCCGAACCGTTTAAGGAACATATGTACCTTTGCGCGCTCTAATAGTACACAAGGATCATTCCTCTCAGACATCAGGAGTTTGTCTAAGATTAGGAGAGCAGTGTGAGGATTCTTTTTATAACTATCCCTTACGTACTGCAAACGATCCGGTGGGTCTGTGGAACCCACAAAATGTTTCGAAATTACGTCCTCCATACTATTTGGAGGTTTTTTAATCTCCTCACTAACTACGCTAATCACGGACATAATATCATATTCGGATGCAATATTCTCTTGTGGCATAAGTCCTGCAGCATTGAGTCGCTCAGATAATGCTCCCAATGTTGATGATTGTGGAAGTAATGTTATACTCTCTTCAACGATGACCATTCGACAAATAGAACATGTCACCGGCCTTCCTTTCGAATTCTGAACCTTCGTATAAATCTCGAAGGCCTTTTTTGACATAAAGTGACCACAATTCAACGCATAATATGCGTCGCTAATCTGCAGCATTATCGGACATAATAATTCTTCCGCAACCAAATTAAGTATTGGATTATCTCCTTGGTCCGTAAAAGCCGGAAAATCATCTTGAAGGTCAGCGGCTTTTAGGCTAGGTTTTCGAGAATTCATCCTTAATTGAAAAGAAATAGCGAGTTTGTACTTGACAAAATCTACAAGTGTTGCAAACTTCGCCTTCTTTTCAATGTGCTGGGCGTATTCATCCAAGTCCACTTTCACGATACCGAACCAATCCCTTTTTCGGTGCTCAAGGCTTAAAAGGAGCTCGATTGCCTTGAACCTGATAAAAGTGCTCGGGGAATGATTTAAACTTTCCAGAGCTAAATAATAACATAAGGAGAGCGTGATCGAGTTTGTGGAGGTAAGAGAAACATTTCCTGCAAGGTCCAGGATTCCAAACCATAAGGTATGTGGGTAAGATAGAGGTTCTATTCCAGTAAGTTCGGCAAACAGCTTCTTCTTATTATTAAAAACTTTTGAAAATTCGAAATCCTCGTTTCGTGATGGTGTAAGCTTACACCAGATTTGCTGCGCCAGATACCAGAGATATTCGAGAAGCATCCTTTCTCCGAATTTCTTGAGACGCTGACTATTAGCTTCAGTATCTAACGTATGCTTCAGCATCAGCAAGAGTCTCCAGTCTTTGTAACCATTTGAAAGTGGGACCTTGAATCCGAATGCATCTCTCATCTTTCCCCACGTGGTTAATGCATTTGCGTTGTCAATAAAGCTTGGAACTCCCACGACAACACCGATTCCAGATGCTAGACCCAAAACGCCCTTAAAGAATTCTTTAACCCTATAAAAAAAAAAGAGACGGAAAAAGGGTTTGTAAGAATGATATTCCATCAAAGTGCTTCATACATATCCCTTATTTTAATTGATCATATATCTCTACCTTCTCCAACCTTCCCGAAATTTCGTTTCGTCATCGCTCAAACTATGAATGGTGTCTCGAAGGTGAATCAATAGAAAATCAATGTTGTAATTACGTTGAACGCAACCGGTTGGGAGATCGAGTTCAATGTCAACTACATTTAAATGTTGTAATTTTCCTTTCCAGGTTTTATGCAACCCATGCTCCATTGCAGAAGATATATTGTGGTGTATGTCGTTAAATTCGGTTAGTGAATCGTAAAGCCTCTGTCTTAAATTGCGGTTCAGGATAATTGGATTTTGACAAAACACCTCAAGTACCGAAGCGAAAGTCCTTAGATGTAATTCAAATATTATAAAAGTCTCTTTAACGGTGTAACTGTATGAGGACGTGTCAGAAAGTCTTTCAAGTGCACTTATTAAACTTTTTGGACTCCACTGAGTTGGATGGTTCTCTGCTAATTTTTTTAATTCACTTAGGTTGGAAGGTTTAGAAATATCTAAAAGTTCTTCGATTTGATCGTCCATAATAGGAACTTTCAGAAATGAACTTGTCATTGGTGAAGCATGTGGTTTATTTGGAAGAGGTTTTTTTTCGTCCGAATTTGACAATTCAGAAAGTGTGCCACTATCTTGACGGTGAATTTGAGAAGGTGAATATGAATTGGGGGGAACTCTCCCACTACTACCTCCATTTCTATTGATTACAAAATGATTGTATTGACTCATTATCAAAAGATTTTATTTTTAGTTTATTTGTATAGGATGAAAAGTCAAAATGAGATGAAATTTATAAAGTTCGTCAATGAAAAGAAGACTCTGTAATTTATTTCAAAGTTCCCGAATTATTATTCTCACAAAAGGAAAGATAATAACTTCTCATTATTTATCATTATTTATCATTATTTGATGTTTTATATAAAAGATAAAATTCATTGTTTTTTTTCTACAAAAAGAATTTGATTTAAACTGTGTTACGAAACTTTATCCGTTTTGGTTTGGTTTGAAAGGCAATTTAGATAAGATTAGAATGTTCCTATGACCATTCGATTGCGCAGCAATATACTGTGCCACAATAATTCTCGGGTAGTCAATGTTACTGAATAAAAAAAACAGCAGGTCTCGCCGAGAATCGAACTCGGATTATAGGATTCAAAGTCCTATGTGATAACCATTACACCACGAAACCATGTTATGAGGGGAGAGTTGAACTTAACGTGAGGGACTGGAATTCTGCGCCGCAGTTTTCAATCACCCAAAACAAAATTAGTCATATATTATAAACTGAAGATGATCGTTTACCAAAATGATTTGAGGGATTTTTTTTTGTTACACCGAAAAATGTCACGAAATCCCTTTTTTTTTGTGAACATTGTGAACACAACAAAATTTTATCTTTACTGCGCCATTATCGTATAAAATGCTCGTCATACCGTTCTTATTTTGTATCATATAATCAGAACATGCATCTTAAAATAGATAAGATTTTTTTGTTTAACGGTTGATTTGTTTGTGGATGTCTTTTTTTTCTTTTTTTTTTTTTTTTTTTTTTTTTTTTTTTTTTTTTTTTTTTTTTTTTTTTTTTTTTTTTTTTTTTT